TCACAGTTTGAGAAATTATTGTTTTTATTGACAAGGGCTATCCACCTGTAACTGTCTATCTGTTAATGACAGAAAACATCATTGCCGCTGTGATTTTTCATCAAAAAATTGTAGAAGAGAACTTTTTTGATATCAAAAATTTTCGTAATTTGCAGCAAAGATCGTAATTTTTCTTTTTGAATGCTTAAGTATTCCAATATGCTACCAATAACACATGGAACAATTTCTAAATAATGCTTAATAACAAAGTTGAAATTTGATCTTCAACTGTTAATATCTTCTAGAAATTTTCGAAAAAAAAAATTTCAATATTTTTCTCGTACTCCCTAAGTGAGCCTCTATCACCCCTTAAAAGGAATGACGCCAATTTTGAATCACCCTGTATAGGAATATTTATGCAAAAATAATCAGATCTATATCGCCAATCCAACCGTGAAATAATATACAGGGTGACTCATTTACCAACGTTGTCTGTACGTTTCGGTATAAACCGCAACCTCGCATTGTTGAAAATATTTTAGGCCGATGAGCATATTCGGTGACTTCGTTATACAAATTTTCAAGTAGATCGTGCTTCGCGTTCTTGTTAAACGCAGGGTCGGATCCAACTTTCGAGTCAGGGGGGGGGGTCAAGTAGTAGAAATTCAGTATTTTGTTGTCCATGAAATTAGAAAAATAGAATTTTTCTCGTTAGTTAGTCGTTAAAAACCCAGCACAAGGGGGGAGGGGGGTCATGACCCTCATTAATCAAAATTTTTCATTTTCATTCACCGCCGTTTAGCGTTCATAATACACAAACTGGCCTCCAACCGTAGGTTGAATCTCAACCGTTACATTATAATACCCCACTGTTAACCTCCAGACGTATCAGCCTTAGTAGTTATTATTAGTTATACATTGGCAATATTACTTACAAACACCCAGTAAATTGTATTAAATAGGCTGCTGAATAGTGACGATCTGGATCAAAGGGAAACCATGAAAATATTATGAAGTGATGGTTTACAACTCCCGTATCGTTATTAAAGCCCAAGGGAGTTACAGCGTTGCTCACTAGAGGAGTGATAAAATATAGGCTAATTCCTGTAGTGCCCATAATGGTGTAAAACAAAACGATTTTGCGGTTTTTTTCTGTATTTTTTGCGTAAATGTCCGTAAAATCTCGATCATTACTGTCGAAAATGTTTCGCTCTGAATCGGCTATTTCGTGCAGTAAATCCTTGAAAGTTTGCGATTTGAGCAGCAAAACCTGCAACATTTTCAAAGGGTTATTTTGCACTAATTTGAAACTCAACTACCTTGTAAGCATTGCTGACGTATTCAATTACAATTGCCATACTATTGGCTGTTATTAAGTAATTGTGGCTCCAGGTTAGCATTGCCATGGTCAGGCCGCTGATGTTGAAAGCAATGTAATAAGCGAAAGTGATCCAGAAATATGTTTCGTAAAATCTCTTTGTAAAGCCTTGGGCTTTAATAGGCCAAATCCCTAGAAGCAACATGGTTCTTCTGACAAATTTCATGTGAACGCATTTTTCTACAAAGAACAGTTGCAGATTTAGTAATGTAATTTGGCTTTGAAGGCAAAGTACTACATTTTTCTTACCAGGCATTTTGAAATCACAGCAACTGCAGCTGAACTAGTTAGTCGCAGTTTCTCACCTATTAATATCAGTTGATCGTTTCCTCAGAACAGTAATTACCCTAATTGCTGGACGATTAAATATATAGAGGAGCGATTTTCTGTGTAATTATGCATTGGTAATTGTGACCAAATGTAAAATTTAAATGCATGTCGGTTTCTGGTTGTTCGTTAGATTTTCTGGATTCTCATCGTTTTTGGAATGCACTTTTGAGTGAAAACGCTCATATTTTTTGGGATTCGCAAAATTATTTGCTGAAAGTGTGACATTTTGTTTGCTCATTAAAGGCATTGATTTGCAACTTTTTTGTGAAACGTGTAGATGTTTCCGTCTACTTGTTTACTGATTTTTATATTGGGTTCGGTTGTTTTTCCATGCAGGTCCTGGATTTCGCAGAAACAACGATGCGAGCCGGTCTAAGCCTGGAAATGTTGTCTTTAATTCTTGATTTTTGTTTTTACCTGACATTTGTTTCGTCTATTTCTGAATCAATACACTTTTACAGCAATATTTGATCAATAATTGAAGAATAAAATGTTTGGTGTTTGTGTAAATCGGGTTTAGGTGATTGTGTTAACGCATTAACAGACAAAATGATGGTGTTTTTCAGTGAAAATGCCCAAATTAGCTTTTTTTAAAACATAGCGATGGCTTAAATTTGGTTCACTAGAGTTAATAACTTGAGATCAAGTATTTGCTGCAGGGAGCTTTTATTTGATACATTTTGATGAGCCATTGATCTAAATTTGATACAATTTCAAAATAGGTGTTAATCGCATTTGCCCCAAGCTTTCTGTTTCAGTTTAATCCGTTTTTCGACTTACCTTTCTAATTTGGAAACTCACGGTTATTTGTAGGTACTGTTTAGAATTTTCAGGTTTGCGCGATCTTTTTGCTCCAGCACCTTTTCCTTCAGCCATTTATTAACCGATCGATAACAGTGATATCACATGATGAAATCGGATGAATTGTCACTTAAGTGAATGTTCTTTTCTGGATAAACAGATTGCCTGCTTCAGTCAGAATTTTCGTCAATTTCCAAGAATTTGTATCTGCGTAATAATAATATTAATATTATACGTTTTTGTTTTCAAATGATGTCCGGACACAGCTGGTAAGACAATAGTACCAGACCCACACAAAATTGCGAGACAAAAAATGCATCAGACAAAAAAATTAATAGTATCCATATACTAACCTTGTAAGTTTGCCAAAAAGTCTTTTATTGCATATCCTGGTTCAAAAAATAACGCTTTTGTGGCTATTTAAACATTCCCTACTTGGTAATTGGTTGAACTGCTTCATACATGGTAATACGGATTGTTTTCCGCCAGGACTGGTCGATGTATGGGGTAACTTCTGTTCTGGTCATAAGCCTATGGGAAATCAATGGCTCAAAATAGATTCTATTTAAACAAAAAGAAACATTAGTCCTTCATAGACGTATGAACCATACACAGTTAAAAGTGAAAACTCCTTGACAACTCTCTCGAAAGTTCATTTTCTTTATCGATCGAAGAATGCGTTTTTCCTTACCGAAACTATCCTATACCGAAAAACTGACAGAAATTTTGAAAAATACATAGTATTTGGGATTTTTGCTCATATATTTCCCAGCAATCTTTATGCCATAGGATATTGAGTTTAATTTGCTTACTAAGTGATTCATACGTTCGCCACAATTAAGTAATTCATCAATTTTTATCCCTTGGAAGTTAATGTTTCTCATAATTTTTGCTTCCTGGTTCACAAGTGTATATTTCTCGGTATTGGTTTTCTGCATTGCTTTGCTCCAAATATTATAAGATTTGTTTTGTGTATTTAATAATTTGTTCCTTGTAACCCACTCTTGTGCTCTTTTGAACAACTCTCCCCGATGGATATCTTTCCCATCCAAAATTAAGGTTGTATCAGCTGCATAACAAGTTAAATGATGACCATGTTGAAGGAAAATCCTACTTCCCCTTCTTAAATCTAATTTTTACACAATATGGGAATGTTTGTGAGTGATTTCCTACATTCAGTGCTTTCCTATTTTTGTCCACATTTAAATCAGTGTTTTTGTCAAACTTGTGGTTCCAAAGATTGATACGTTCTTTTTATGTCTGCCTGAATTTTGTGATGGTTCGAAGCGCGATTGAATGATGAAAAGAGAAAATCGAACACAGCTTGATTTGTTTTCTAATTAATTTACTTGCGTCTTTATTTAATGTTCTGTTTTAACGATTTTCTTTCAGTGAAAGATACATGAATAAATTGTAAAGCTTTTCCTTTTACCTTTAAGTCGCAAATGGGTTTTTGAACGAGCTAATTTGGGCTAGTGCTCTAGTAATGATTAATATTCTTCTTCAGTTTGCGCTGTCTCTAAACGCTAAAATGGTGATAAAATATAAAATTTACTGAGTGTTTAGTGACAGTTGCACTCCAGTTTGTTTGATCAATTTATAGTTTCTGTCTTTCTCGAGCTTTTTAGAGACTCTAATCAAAGAAATATTGTTTTTTGATGGCAGGAGTCTAGGGTAAAAACGAACATTTTCTTCATCTTTAACTTCGATTTCCAGATTTTTGCTATGATCTCTCATTAGTACTCGGTGAGTTAATTATAGTAAACTAAATAAGGTGCCTTATTACAACGCGCAAAGACGTTCTTAAATTGGAAATTAAGATGGAAAGCGTCAACTTCGATCTTTCTCTGAACCGAGCAAAGGGCCCCTTCTTCTATATTAAACTCATAAGATTTCAAATAGGCATTACATGCCATGTATGTCTATAAATCGTTAACAGTCTGATATTTTTCAATATTTTGACTGATTCGATATTCTAAAGCCTTAATTTAATTCTAAGTTTAGAACGCAAAACTTGGTTTTTCTACTAAAGAAGCATATTTCTAACTCCAGTTAAGCATTCTTATGCCATCTTCTGGCTTTATTAGCGACCCGGGAATGCGGCAGAAACTTGAATAAAAGTATGAAACCCGATTTGTTGCCACAAGGAAACTTGTGGAGGAACTTGCAAGATGGCTCTGCCCCCAGTGAGGCGAAGCTGAGTATATTTTAAACTCAACTAGGTACTTTAAAGTAAAAGCTAACTCTTAATATATTTTAATTTCATTTCATTTCAGCTCTAATATAGAGAAACTTGTAAATATTGCAAAAACCACATTAATTGAAATCCTGTTTGAAAACGACAAATTGAAATAATTCAAATAAACATTCAACGGAAGAAGTGATAACTTAATATTTATCTTTAATGTAAGGTTTTCTGCGCGTTTGAGAAACTGGCTCTTAGTTACACATAAGAGTGGCACCAAGAACCAAATGGGTATAAAAATTTGTACCATTCATATAAAAGGAATTTCATTAAACTGCCCTTTATCTGGATGGAGTTCAGAGTTTAAAAGTTTCCGAACGTCACCGCACTTATGGGAGTGTTTTGACAATGAAACTATATCGTAATCATGAAACGTATCCAAGCTAAAATTCTAACTTTGTGATGTTTTTCCCAAAAAATGTCCATTTGAAATTCAATTTTCATCATCATAGCCGCTCTTATGACGGATTAAAATTTTATGCAAATAAAGAATTTTGCAACCGAACATTGGGTCAGTTAGATAGTAGTTGAAAATAAGGTTGGCATTCGATCTTCAAGTGAATTTAATGTATCGGAATCACCCAGTATAGTTCAAAGCCTGATGATAAATCGAATCCACTGGAAATGTATCATGAAAAATGGAAACAAAAATTCATGTGGTTTCTCCCATTTCAACAAAGAACTATCCATATTCTCCTTTTATTTCTACATCTTTTATACGCTTTTATTTCGGTCCTTAGCCGAGCCATAAATCGCCAATAAATAATTAACAAACTCCCTCGCGATGGCAAAAAAAGAAGAACGAACAACTCCTTGGTCCATTATCTGCTCGGTGCCATTATTTATAGATGGGAGGTGATTTTTCAATGGGCCAAATAAACACATTTCCGGAGAGGATGCGTTCATCCATCAGCGGATCTAAGTAATAATGGAGAGTTTTCGGATCGAAATCGCAGTCGGAATTTGCCATTCCTTTGCTCAAGCTGCTTTAAATAGGCCAGAGCATCGCATGACTTAAAATGTTTTCTCAGTGTTGGAGAATTTGTTCAGATCTAAATTGACTACCCAAATTGACTGCTAACCAGATAGCATACAATACAGTTACAACACGACCAGTTTTATGATAAGGAAATGCGTGAAAACTATTTTTAAGTTGCTCCAGCTGCTTCTACTGCAGGTGAAATCAAAAGGATACAAAAAGTACTCCGTAACTAAGTACTCGTACACCGTAAAGAAAAATACGTTTTCTTTACGGTGTTCCGGCGCTAAAACTCCGTAATTCCTATCGAAGTTTCTGTATTGTTGAGCTGTATCGGTGGAAATGGAACTAAATTAATTTCACTATCGGCCGGATGAAAGCCGAAGGAAAAAGCGAATTATTTGCGAAATTAAGTAAGAAACGGACGATATTTATCGCTTTAAGTATCTGTGGTGGAAATGAGGCATTCCGCCTACGTTGGCTGATAAATCGCACAACTCATGGGTTTCGTCAGCCATAAAAGTTATGCAAAATTATGTAAGGACTTAGCATTTAATCCTGCAGTCGCTCTTTAGTAACCCATGAAAAAGTATCTCCATGTAAATCTTTAATTTATTTCCAATTAGTTAGGAAGATTACTCAAAAGGTTTCAAAACAGCCGAACTCCTTTGATCCGAAGCCTTCGTAGATATCGCGTTCATCTGTATTGCATTGAAAAGTTGATTAGGCGTCGCCCCGGGACGCCTTCCTCAATCAGATACCATTGAGAGCCTCTAGAGTCAAGGGCTGACTAGGGCAAAGATACCAAAAGCGATAAG